AATTCATGTTGTTACAATATCATTAGGGTAATACATCATTTTTTCAATTAATTTAATTTTTCTTTATTTGGATTAAACACGATAAAACAGCGACATTTATTGCAGCTGACACAAACATATTTAAGACAGATGCATGTCATTAGCAGGTGACATAAGGTACACGGCAGGTGACATAAGGTACACGGCAGGTGACATTACACGGCAGGTGACATTACACGGCAGGTGACATTACACGGCAGGTGACATTACACGGCAGGTGACATTACACGGCAGGTGACATAAGGTACACGGCAGGTGACATAAGGTGAATGGCAGGTGACATAAGGTACACGGCAGGTGACATAAGGTACACGGCAAGTGACATAAGGTACACGGCAGGTGACATAAGGTACACGGCAGGTGACATTACACGGCAGGTGACATAAGGTACACGGCAGGTGACATAAGGTACACGGCAGGTGACATTAGGTACACGGCAGGTGACATAAGGTACACGACAGGTGACATAAGGTACACGGCAGGTGATAAAAGGTACACGGCAGGTGACACAAGGTACACGGCAGGTGACATAAGGTACACGGCAGGTGACATAAGGTACACGGCAGGTGACATTAGGTACACGACAGGTGACATAAGGTATACGACAGGTGACATTACATGGCAGGTGACATTACACGGCAGGTGACATAAGGTACAGGGCAGGTGACATAAGGTACACGTCAGGTGACATAAGGTACACGACAGGTGACATTACATGGCAGGTGACATTACACGGCAGGTAACATAAGGTACACGACAGGTGACATAAGGTACACGACAGGTGACATTACATGGCAGGTGACATTACACGGCAGGTGACATAAGGTACACGGCAGGTGACATAAGGTACACGACAGGTGACATTACACGGCAGGTGACATAAGGTACACGACAGGTGACATAAGGTACACGACAGGTGACATAAGGTACACGGCAGGTGACATAAGGTACACGACAGGTGACATAAGGTACACGACAGGTGACATTACACGGTAGGTGACATTACACGACAGGTGACATAAGGTACACGACAGGTGACATTACACTGCAGGTAACATAATGTACACATCACTAGCAAGTGACAGAAGCTACTGCCACATCGCTGTCTGAAGATTTGAAATGTGAATAACAATATGAGGACAAACTGGATAGCTTTAAAGATAAGAATATTTTTTTTATTTTGACTCGGAATTTTTTTTTTCAGTAGGCGTAAGCTTCGAACTCTTAGAGTACATTTCCTTCGGTAAGTTACGCATCAGTATACTAACAGATTTAATCATGATCTGACACAAGGGCTAAGAGTATTAGAGTGGATTAACCTTGAACTTAGAGCAAAGTGTCAACACATAAAGATGAGACTGTCATTACAGAAGGAATCGGTTACTTAAACATTGAGTACGATTACGTACGATAATGCACTCAATGATACAGACATAGTCGATTGCTTTAAATATTTAGAACGATAACACACACACTGATACCTTTCTAATCGATTACTTTAAATATTTAGAACGATACCGCACACAATAAACCCACTGTATCGATTACTTTTTTAAAAGTCAATGGCTGACGACAGCATCCTTAGCAGACGTAACGAATCTAATGAGACTTAATCATCAAACCACACCGCACGTGACGTTTTAAGGAAATGATAAAAGATCTCATTAAGAACGATACTGGAACTCAACAAGATCTTTATAGCTTTATGATGCCAGCTTTGTTTTGTTAAATGTCAGTTGATCTATATCTTATCTTTCTGTATAACTTTAAACAAGCTGGGAGTTGTCGAACCTTTCTGTACTTGAGTAATCTGTGTAGAGGCGTAGCGACCCATTCCGGCGCCCGGGGCGAACTATCGATTTTACGCCACCGCCAATTTATAGTTACTTACAATTACATTTGACAAAAAAGCGCCCCCCCCCCCTCCATTTTTTTGAAAGATCGGGGAGGGGATGCTTTTTATTGGTGTTATACAATTGTATAAAACAGTTAAATACAACTCATAGTGAACTTTTTATTTCTTTTTTTTTGTTACCTTGTTTGGCGCTCCCTTAAGGTCGGCGCCCTGAATTATACGCCCCACCCGCCTTCTCTAGCTACGCCTCTGCAAGTTCCAGGGTCGGCAAAATCTCTGTTTTGTAATCTACCTGTGTGTGTGTGTGTGCATGCATGTGTGTGTGTGCGTTGTTTACAACCTATATAGAATCCCGTCACCTAAAATAATTTTAACTGAAATATGAAATGGGTTGTAATAGATTTAGGGGAAGGGGAGGGGGGGGGGGCGTGTAGAGATGACCCTGACAAAAATACCGTAAATCAAAATATTAAAATCTAACTAGTTTTTCTGTTTCTAAACAGATATGAATGTGTTATCGTGATTTAATTTTCATGCCTCTCTACCTGTGACGGGTTATCTTTCAAATGATAAATAGGAGATGCGCCAAACAAATTAGCACCGTAAAATAAACTGTTTAGATTCAAGAATGAATTAGTTCTGTGGCGAATATTTCCCTCACAAATATTTTTGGGTAGTTCAGTGGTGTAGTAGGGGTGGTTCAGTACTGTAGTAGGGGTGGTTCAGTACTGTAGTAGGGGTGGTTCAGTGGTGTAGTAGGGGTGGTTCAGTGGTGTAGTAGGGGTGGTTCAGTAGTGTAGCAGGGGTGGTTCAGTGATGTAGATGGGGTGGTTCAGTTGTGTAGCAGGGGTGGTTCAGTGATGTAGTAGGGGTGGTTCAGTGGTGTAGTAGGGGTGGTTCAGAGGTGTAGTAGGGGTGGTTCAGTAGTGTAGTATGGGTGGTTCAGTGATGTAGTAGGGGTGGTTCAGTGATGTAGTAGGGATGGTTCAGTGGTGTAGTAGGGATGGTTCAGTGGTGTAGTAGGAATGGTTCAGTGATGTAGTAGGGATGGTTCAGTGATGTAGTAGGGATGGTTCAGTGGTGTAGTAAGGGTGGTTCGGTAGTCTAGCAGGGGTGGTTCAGTATTGTAGCATTGGTGGTTCAGTAGCACGGGTGGTTCAGTAGTATATCACCGGTGGTTCAGTAGTGTATCATGGGTGGTTCAGTAGCACGGGTGGTTCAGTAGTCTAGCAGTGTTGATTCAGTAGCAGGGGTGGTTCAGAGGTGTAGTAGGGGTGGTTCAATAGTGTAGTTGGGGTGGTTCGGTAGTGTAGCATGGGTGGTTCAGTAGCACGGGTGGTTCAGTATTGTAGCATGGGTGGTTCAGTAGTGTAGCATGGGTGGTTCTGTAGTATAGCACAGGTGGTTAAGTAGTTTAGCAGGGGTGGTTTAGTAGCACGGGTAGTTCAGTAGTGTAGCACCTGTGGTTCAATAATGTAGCAGGGGTGGTTCAGTAGGGTAGTAACAATGGTTTAGTTACTAGTAACCGTAACAGATTTTTTTTTTAAATATAGGCGTGAACTCCTTGTGTTTTTTTCGTCCATTCAACTCTCCGTAAGAAAGTAATGCAGAACGGCCCATGCCCAACTTTTGGATTTGAGTGTCTGGATACTACGGGCTATCAAACTCAGCATAGTTGACGCGTGTTACTTATTTAGCTATCAATGATTGGTTTAAAATAATCATTCGTATTCAAAACATTTATTTTAATTATTTTTTTTAAATACGTTTTTCACATTGAGTTTTCACATAAAAGCGGCAACATATTTTTTAGAGGTCGGGGTAGGGGCGTGGGGGGGGGGTATTAATAACACAACCCCCCCCCCCACCAGTGAGGATAAAAAAACTATATACGCGACCAGTGTTTCTTCCAGACTTTTTTCTCCGGGGGGGGGGGGGGCAATTGAAATTTTTTTTTGGGGGGGGGGGCAATAAACTTTCTTCGGGGGGGGGGGGGGGGCAGACACTGTTAAAAGTATATATTTTCTATATAAATTATATAAATTTCATTTCGTTCGGGGGGGGGGGGGGGTTAAAATTTTTCGGGGGGGCGAAGACCCCCCGAAGAGATGCCTGGAAGAAACTCTGTACGCGACCCCGCAATGGGAAAATTTGTTCCGTTTATTTTAAGCTGTCAGCTACTTAGAGTTTTTAAAAGATGGAAGTTATGAAAACATGACAGAAATAGTTTGATGTGATGCGTTTTCAAAAAAATTCACTCACCTGAACTACGCCAACAGGTAAAAATGTCAAATCAGGGGAGGTTACTTTTAAATCAATTTCAATAAAACCAAATTATCTTCCTTAAATATGATACAAACAAATACTTTATCCTCCACCCAAAATTGAAGCGAAAATTATTTTATAAACTGATTTCAAAAAGAAATAAACACAGCACATTTCAAGGACCTAACTAAACAGATTTATTTGTATCCATGCTTGTTCTCCAATTTTAAAAAACTTTCATAAATCGAGCAGTTTTTTATCTGCTCCATATCCCAGAAAGGAGCGACAACTCAGTTTTGTTATTATTGTTTTTCCCTGTTTGAAATCAACTACAGCTTATCTCAGCATTCACCCGCCCGAGGATTTCACACACTGAATGAATGGGTTTTCCTTGTCAATCCCTCTCACGAACCTCGCGTTTAATTTTTTCTTTAATTGTTCATCTGGATCCAACCCTCTCTCCCCCCGCCTCCCCCTTTCTCTGACATGACGCGAGATCTCACACACTGCCAGAACGCCAGCCTCGTTCTAGACGTTGGCACTGGCACGTGCGGTTCGCTCAGCTGGGGCCGAAAGTATGGCAAGTTTTTATCCAAACAGTATGGCAAGTTTTTATCCAAACAGTATGGCAAGTTTCTAGACAAACTGTATGGCAAGTTTTTATCCAAACAGTATGGCAAGTTTTTATCCAAACAGTATGGCAAGTTTCTAGACAAACTGTATGGCAAGTTTTTATCCAAACAGTATGGCAAGTTTTTATTCAAACAGTATGGCAAGTTTTTATTCAAACAGTATGGCAAGTTTTTATCCAAACAGTATGGCAAGTTTTTATCCAAATAGTATGGCAAGTTTTTATCCAAACAGTATGGCAAGTTTTTATCCAAACAGTAGGGCAAGTTTTTATCCAAACAGTATGGCAAGTTTCTATCCAAATAGTATGGCAAGTTTTTAGACAAACAGTATGGCAAGTTTTTATCCAAATAGTATGGCAAGTTTTTATCCAAACAGTATGGCAAGTTTTTATCCAAACAGTATGGCAAGTTTTTATCCAAACAGTATGGCAAGTTTCTAGCCAAACAGTATGGCAAGTTTTTATCCAAACAGTATGGCAAGTTTTTTATCCAAACAGTATGGCAAGTTTTTATCCAAACAGTATGGCAAGTTTTTATCCAAACGGCAAGTTTTTATCCAAACAGTATGGCAAGTTTTTATCCAAACAGTATGGCAAGTTTTTTATCCAAACAGTATGGCAAGTTTTTATCCAAACAGTATGGCAAGTTTTTATCCAAACGGCAAGTTTTTATCCAAACAGTATGGCAAGTTTTTATCCAAACAGTATGGCAAGTTTTTATCCAAACAGTATGGCAAGTTTCTAGACAAACAGTATGGCAAGTTTTTATCCAAACAGTATGGCAAGTTTTTATCCAAACAGTATGGCAAGTTTCTAGACAAACAGTATGGCAAGTTTTTATCCAAACAGTATGGCAAGTTTTTATCCAAACAGTATGGCAAGTTTCTAGACAAACAGTATGGCAAGTTTTTATCCAAACAGTATGGCAAGTTTTTATCCAAACAGTATGGCAAGTTTTTATCCAAACAGTATGGCAAGTTTTTATCCAAACAGTATGGCAAGTTTTTATCCAAATAGTATGGCAAGTTTTTATCCTAACAGTATGGCAAGTTTTTATCCAAACAGTATGGCAAGTTTTTATCCAAACAGTATGGCAAGTTTCTAGACAAACTGTATGGCAAGTTTTTATATAAACAGTATGGCAAGTTTTTATTCAAACAGTATGGCAAGTTTTTATTCAAACAGTATGGCAAGTTTTTATTCAAACAGTATGGCAAGTTTTCTTTCCTGAAGAAACAGTCCCAATGTCCATTCTTTTCATTAACATGACAAGTTCTATATCATAAAAAGTGTGCCAATGTCCATTTTTTCATTCACATGTCAAGTTTTGTATTCTAAAAATTGTGCAATGTCCAATTTTTTCATTTAGATATCTATTTTTCTATCCTAAAAATTGTACCCATGTCCATTCTTATCATTGTTTACTGTAAAACTACAACTACATGTCTCACCTGTCTACTTAAAAACAGTTTTCATGTTCGTACCGTAGTTTCCACACATCGTTTACAACTTTTGTAATGTAGCTTACCCCGTGTGTAACCTTTGTGTGTAACCTCTGTATACCTTCTTATGCTACCAGTTAAAAAAATGTCCTTTTATAAATCTCTAGATGTAGATAGCAAAACAAAAAAAACGTCGTGAATTTCTTAGATGGAGTCTACGCGATTCATTAACTTTCTGTAACGTAATGATTACCTTTAAGTATTTTTTTAGGGAGGGGTGGGGATGGGGGTATATGACAACATGTGACCTTGACATCATATATGGACGACATCAAGCGAAAATGTTCATCCGTTGCATGTCGCTAGTTGCCTGTTTAAAATTGTTTGAAAAATATTTTTTTTCGGTTGCCCATCTTCCTGTTTCTCTCATTTCTCCTTTCAACCTTCCACCACCCACTCCCCTCCACGCACACGCCTTTCTTCCTCGCCCTCTCTTCCCTTGTAATTCCACCAATTTTATTTCAGATTACTCCGCGTTTCATCACCATACCTCTCACTAGAGTTGCAAAAAATATTCCGCGGTGAAAAATGTTTACAAACATCTTTAAAAAAAATATGTTTGTCTGTGCTCTTCAATTTAACGTTAAAAGAAAACATTTATTGAATCATTCCGGGAAGCGAAAAGAAAATTTAACAAATGGCCCTTCACATTTTTTTCTTCCTTAATCTTTATTATTATTATCTCTATTAAAAAAAAAGTTTTTTTTGTGAAATTTTTTTCTGCCGTAGTGAACAGGAAGCGGCCGTGTTCATACTCAAATATAAAGGTAGCTCTTACATAATTAAATATAAATTAGGATAGAATATGTTGCAAACATAACTCTGGGGAATATTGGTTAATGGACCATAAATTGTTGTATTAGAATTATGGCATTGCTCTCTACTGTTCTGATTCTATGAGTCTGCTCGCTGTACTGAGAGATTTGATAGCAACCAGCGAAGTTTTTTTTTTTTAATTTATATATTTATATATTTAAAACATCCTAAAACTCCACACAAAATAACTCAACCTCATATATATATATATATATATATATATATATATATATATATATACATATATATATATATATATATATATATATATATATATATATATATATATATATACAGTGGCGTAGCGAGGTCGGGTGTCACCCGGTGCGGCACTTAATGGTGTCACCCCTTCCCCCCCCCCCCAGAGGCATAGAGACCCTTCCCAGGGACAAACTTTCAAATTTTCGATTTGCACCCCCCCCCTCAAACTTTCGATTTGCACCCCCCCCCCCTCGAGTTTTTCTCTATATATTTTGCTATTTTTTGCCTTGGTGTCACCCCCCTAAATGGTGTCACCCGGTGCGGTCCGCACCCCCCCGCCCCCCCCCCCCTCGCTACGCCCCTGTATATATATAATGTTATTATCTACAGTTTACTAATGGTGACTGTCATTCTGACAATATTTGTGAACACATTACCCTAGGATCCAACTTTTCACCGCGCGGCTAACTTGTCTCTTTAAGAGCTTGGCCGGCACGACGTCACGATTTCTCTTGTCACGTGACTTAACCGGTTCGTTCCTTCCGGCTATGCGTGTTTGTATTGTATTCAAACAGTCACGGGAGAGGGGTGGGGGATGGTTCCCCAGACCATTACGGTAACGACGACCTGCTAACAAGCACGTTTGAAATCGAGAAAAACAGGGGGGAGGGGGTTACAGGTCAACGATCTTGAGGTCGATGTCTCAATGAAAAGATGAAGAAAAGGCTGCAGGCTAGTGCTTCGATTCTGAAGAAAAAAAAATAAAGTTGAAATCTTTAATTACTGCCTTAGATCCTTCCAATGCTGAATCTTGGCCAATCTTCCTCAGATTACTTTATCACAGTACTCCGAAGGGGAGGTAATAATATTTTTATGTCCTTGAACTTAAAAGCTGAAGAGTCGATGTGATATTCACCTATGTTTAATTCATGGGTGTGTGTGTCATTACCTTTGAACTTTTGTCTTTGTTTACAAACATTGGAAGATGTTTGTAGCTTATTGCAGCCTTGAGGCAGTTAGGTGGTTCTGTGTGTTGTTGTCTGGTTACAGTTAACATTTCAGAGTGGTTTTATCTTCCAGACTTTTTTTCTCAGGGAGGGGGGGGCACTTGGATTTTTCGGGGGGGGGGGGGGGCTAAAACTTCCGGGTAGTGGGCGTAAACGTATATATTTTCTATATCAATTCTATTTCGTTAGGGAGAGGGGGGGCGGTAGACATTTTGCGGAGGGTGGGGGGGGGGGGGGGCGATTCGCGGCCCCGAAGAGATGCCTGGAAGAAACTCTGGTTTTATCTGACAATTTGGTTGGTCTCAAGTAGGGTCGCTCACAACAAATCCGGCGGATCAAAACTTTACAAATCTAGTGTCTCAGGTTGGTGAACCAGCAGAGGCGGATCTAAAAAGAGGTGAAGGGGGGGTGATATAGGACACAAAACCCATACAGAGTATCCCTCACAAAAACTCACACACAATCCACACACACAGAAAAACTCACAATGAAATCACACTTACAAAAACTCACACACAAACCCACGCAGAATCTGCGTATACAAAACCCTCACTAAGAAACGTCTCACACATGAGCCCACACACAAACCACACACACACACACAAGCCACACACACAAAACACAGTCACCCTCACAAAAATCCACACAGAAGCCACCTTACAAAACCCCTACAAAGAAAACGTCTCACACATAAGCCCACACACAAGCCACACACACACAAGCCACACACACAAAACACAGTCACCCTCACAAAAATCCACACAGAAGCCACCTTACAAAACCCCTACAAAGAAAACGTCTCACACATAAGCCCACACACAAGCCACACACACACAAGCCACACACACAAAACCCAGTCAGCCTCACAAATACCCACACAGAAGCCACCTTACAACACCCCACTCACATATTAATTCCATCAAAACCAAATCAACAAGAAAAAATAATTACCCTGAACGAAAGGTTAATTTTGTAATTAAATACGAATTATTATTTTTCCTCGCCCTATTTTCCCAACACTTATATCTTTATTTTTAAGTCGAATTGAACTTTTAATAATAATCATTAAAAAAGTTTTAAAAAACCCACGTTTTCTGATTGAACTAAAAAGTAGAAAATAAATGCTATACATCACAATAATGCAAGCGATCACTCTACTATAAGCGATCAAAAACGTGGGGCGCCGAAGTAAAAGTTATATTACTATTGATTAGATAATACTATTGACTTTTATTAGGGAGCTTGTAGAGAGTCAACAGTATTAGAAACTGTAAGAAAATCACGGCGCCCCACGTTTTTGATCGCTTATAGTAGAGTGATCGCTTGCATTATTGTGATGTATAGCATTTATTTTCTACTTTTTAGTTCAATCAGAAAACGTGGGTTTTTTAAAACTTTTTTAATGATTATTATTTTCTACTTTTTAGTCTTTGTCTGTTTGTTTGCATTAAAATCTTGCTATCGATTTTATCTTTTCACTTTTTTTTGGGTAAACGAAGACAACTCGTAAAAAGACAACTCGTAAAAAGACAACTCGTAAAAAGACAACTCGAAAAAAAATCGTTGTGTGAATACGTTACTGACTAGATTTGAACCCGTGTCGAGTGGGATAGCAATCGTGTGCCCAACCACTCGACCATATCGTCTCCCCCAAACTGGCCTACCTCCTGTAAGTTTAAACTCGGTTCAAGCTAAATTCTCTGCCCCTAAGCCTGTGGCGACATGTGATCGTTCGCTTCACTGCGCGCGAGGTACGCGTCGCTGGTTTTTTTTCTAATGGCTAGCAGAGGAGAATTATATATATAGATTATATAGCGGTCTAAAATGCTCAATAAAATGTTTCCATTGATCAATTTAGTAATAATAACAATTGAATATTCAATGGTCATCCAAAAGAAAGCTTCCCTGAAAATTTCAGCGCGCTAGCTAACTGGGAAGTGCAAGAAATTTCGATCGCAAGATTTGATTGGAAAGACAAACAGAGAAAGCAAGTTAAAGAAAACGTGGGAAAAAAATAACGAAACGAGAGGCCTACATTTTTTGGTTGCTATTTTTAGCTACTTCACTCATTGATGCATCCAAGTTAATCACGTTGAAAACACATTTGGTTTTCAATTAAGGGGAGACAAATATATTTTTCTCGCCGGTGGCAACAATATTTTTCGTTCTTTAAGTTTTGAATTTAACCATTCCTTCAACATAGGGTGAAAGACCACTGAAAGTTAACTAAAGTGAAAAAAAATTCTATGGAATTTAAGTCAGCGTTTATGCATACCAAACACAACAAATTGCGCCATTTTCACACAATTTGAAAATAAATGGAGATTGGTTTTTACGGGTCATCAAAGAGATCCATAGTTTCACCATTGTTTGTTGCTAACGCAATGGGTGATGGGAAATTTGCCAGAAAAATTTGAGAATCCGTCCATGAAAACTCGGTGAAGAAAGTAATGAAGGGGAAGTAAATTGTTTTCCGTAGCTGTTTTATTAC